TTGATTCCCTACTGTGCCTCTCTGACAAGGGCTGGACTTGATGATCCATTGGGTCCTTTCCAGCTCTGCGGTTCTAAGATTATTATTATTGTCTCTGCAGTACATCATATTGCTCTCCTTCTGGCTTACTTGGCCCTTGGAGATTTTTTTTTTCTTCTTCTCATGTGCCTTCAGTGAAACACCTTTGAAAAAAATATTGCTTTGGTACAAAAATACAAGCATATTTTCATTATTTTATGATGTTTTGTGCCTATCGCCATTAGAAAGGGCAATAGGGGAGGTTTTCATTTCTAGCATAGCAAAGTTTTATGCATTTGTCCTTATTGATTCCCTGTTGGGTTATGGAACTATTGGCTATAATTCTGAACCTGCTATAAATAACTCAGTCCTTTATTGCAGTTTGCATCATTAATACAACTTCATTTAATTTTCTTTTGGCTAAAGTTTCCAGAGAGTGGGGTGTAGGTATACCAGAAACTGAAAACACATTACAGTACTGTATTTCTTTCATCTCTGCTCCTCATGCTGGCATATATGTCCTTGTCTATACATAGTCATCACTAATATTTTTTCTCATAAAACCAACCATGACAGCAAGCATAGTTTGAAGTACATTTGAAAACCATGTTTAGGCTTTGGCAAAAGTGAGGTTAGATCCAGTTTTAATTCCAGCTGGAATACATTATGGTTATCTTTTTACTGATTTGGTTGGTGCTCAAGAGGCTTTGTGAGTTTGTCAGAAGAAGCTCATAAGCACAGTGAGTAAACAAGTGCATTCTGTGTGGTCATTTTGTGAGGGAGTTTGAAGAAGGCAGGTGTGCACTTGCAAGAAAGATGGAAGTTGAAGGAGCTTTTGTAGTGACCTCTAGCACCTGTAGTGTGTTTTACTTTCTGCTTTAGGTTGTTAGGCATAGGACTGGGCAGATTCTCACCTTTAAAAAAAGATTCTTGAAAAGCTCCCCTTTGAAGGGGAGCTGAAGCTACTGAAGAAACTACTTGTATGAGTAGCAAAAGTCTCAGCCTCATAAGAAAGAAGTCTAGTTGCCATGACTCAACTTCCAGATAACCTCACCTGGATAACTGAGAATCTTCACAGATACACTCCCCTTTAAACTGCTGCTTTTGGGCTGCAGTTCCCAGTATTCTGGGGGAATTCCTGGTGAATTTGGGGAATTGCAGTCCAAAAGAAGCAAAAGTTCCATCCTTAACACCTACAGGTGTACCTTATGCTAACTGTGGGAGGAACACTTAGCATTAGCTAGGTGTTCCTCCCACAATCCTCTATTAGCATAAGGTATTAGCATATGCTAATACCTGTGCACTAGAGGATTATGGGAGGAACACCTAGCCCCTAATGGGGGTCCCACAGGGCACTGCAAAACACTGAGGAGCTGTCTTGGCCTCTGGCAGGACTGGGGCTGTGCAGCTCTGTACTGAGTGGGAGGTGCAGCCAGGGGGTCACCATGCCTTGGGGGGGTCAGTGGACAGAAGGGGGGATGAGGTGCAAGGGCCATTCCAACTCATACCTTGCAGAGGAAATACCATGTCATAAAAGTGGTTTTCTGAGTGGGAGGCTGATCCCTGTGATTTCCCCAAATGTGGGGAACTCAACTGCATAATTTGTGTTAATGGAGGGGATTACATTTGTGATTACCCTGGTTTTTTTTTACAATGCTCACAGACTCCCTGATTAATGATTTGTTCTAGATACTTTCTTGGTAGCACAGTCAGTTTGACAAAGCAACTGCTGCTTGGAGCCTTGCCCCCCCCTCCCATTTCTGAAGAGGAGATGACATGTGCCAGCCTTTGGTTTTCAGGCTTCTCACCTGTTCTCTGAGAATTCTGTTAGATTACAGACAGATAATATCCTTTAGTACCCTTGAATGGAGCTCATCTGGCCCTCCAGATCTGGAATCAATTGAAGTAGCTAGGTTTTCATTACTTATCTTGGGCAGCAGTCTCCCCTCACTTCCTCCTTCATTCCACTTGTACTAGCTTAAATGTTCTTTTCCTTTGGGAAGAGGACTTCAGCAGTTCTGCCTTATTTCTGTCGCCCTTAGTGTTTTCCATATCCTCCACATAGCAGACCTACCACTTCCTTTCTCTTTTTCTTGCTCCGAATATAACTAAAACACACACACCCTTTTTGTTACTTTTAACCTCTCTTGTAAGTGTGGGCTTATTCCGAGCTTTACACCTCACAAGCATCTCACTAAAAACATGAGGTCTTTGTATTCTTCTTGGTGATTTGCCCAATTTCCTAACTGCCCCATTTACACCTTATCTTATCTTATACAACTGTATTGGTTTCTTAATATGTCCCCCACTTTTTTCATTTTGGAACAGCTTGTGGTTATGACATTTGGTCTTTAGGAATTTCCCATTCTTCATATCCTGCCTTCAGTTTGAGTATCTTTGACCATAGAGTTTCACCAGTATTTCTTTAAGCTGCCTGAGACCAGAGTGATTTTACTAGAGATGGGGTTATTTGTATCTGCATACAAATTAACAGCTGGAGTTAATGAGGGTCTTCCCCCTGGGGCCGGACCATCCACTCACATGCCCGCCAGTGGCCTCGCTCATCCTTCCAATCACTCCTGGAGCCGCACTCTCTTCCTGTCCGGCTAGTCACTCCAGGCAAGGGGAGGGAGGATAAGTCTCCCTACACAGCTACAGAGTCACTAGCTGAGCAGGAAGAGAGCAGTGCTCTGGGTGCAATTGGAAGGACTGAATCCACCGCTGGACATGTGAGTGGGCACCAGCTGCGCATTAACTCCAGCTGTGTGGGGATATTCATATTTGTATGTGAATACCCCCATCTCTAATCGTTACACTGCTCTCAGTTTCGCCCTTCCTCAGGACATATAACAAATCCCCATACAGCATGCTCACTTCCATTCCAGGTTCCCACTATTTCCACTTGGCTAACTCGTTCTTCCCTGCTGGTAAAGACCAGATCCATAATAGTCTGTCTTCTTGCTTCTTCCGCATTCCAGAACATAAAGTTGCTCACAAGGCAAGTGAGGAGTTTGTTTTACTTACTTTTTTTGACACGTTGGGCTTCTGATGAAGGCTCCTATGACTACAGTGTCTTTCTTCTTTGAATGGTTGATAATCTGATCGCCAGACTGGTTTGGTCTGGTTATGTGGTCTGCAGCACACACCTGCCCCCATGATGTCCTTGTTGTTTCTTCTCTCCTCTGACTTTCACCCAAATGCTCTTCCTCTGCTCCAACTCATCCATTTCCTCACAGCTGCACACATAATTTTATACATAATTCTACCCCTCTGCCCTTTTTGTTGTTTTCAAAATAAAATGTTCCCAATTCTCCTCCTCCAAGGTCCTGAGTCTCCTATGGAATCCCATTCATCATGGAGAAACTACAGATGTCTACGGACTGGGGATGTTTAATTTCCCCCTGTTGCATTCCTGCAGCTCACAACAGCTTCCCTGTGATAAAAAGGATTCTACAGGAGCCTCAGGACCTTCAGCATTCATATCCGACATTTTTTGTTTCTGAAAAATCCCAGTAACTCAGCCTTTTGTGGCACAGCTGTGCAAACAGGATTTCAACCGATTCATTCCTTCATTCCCCACCTTTCTCCTTAAAAGGATCCAAGGCAGCTTACGTAATTAAAAGACAATATTAAAGCTAACACCAGTAAGTATACAAATATTAAAAAGGATCAAACAAATACCATAAAAACATGAGCAACACCAAAATACATCCAGAGTAGTAAGGTGTACCAGTCCATTAAAAAAACCCACTCAGACAGCCAGTCACTGATGGAAAGCTTGTCTGAAGAGAAAGGTCTTCACCTGCTTGTGGGACAGTAAAGATGGGACTGCCTTAGCCTCCTGCGCAAGAGAGTTCCAAAGTTTGGGAGCAGAAAGAGAGAAGGCCCTGCCCCATGCTCCTACTAAAGCCCCTGTGAAGGTGGTGGGACTGAGAGAAAGGCCTCTCTTGATGATCTTAACACTCGAGCAGGCTCATAAAGGGGGATGTGGTCCTTGAGATAGCTTGGGCCCAAGCTGTTTAGGGCTTTATAGGTTAGATCCAGAACTTTGAATTTTGTCCACAAAATCCTGAAATAGATCAGCAGCTGTAATGTGCTCTAGGAGGGACTGCTGTTAGTAGGGGGGTTATGTGGTCCCTTTAGCCATCCCCAGTTAGCAATCCAGCTGATGCATTTTGGACCCACTGAAGTTTCCTGACAGTTTTCGTAGGCAGCCCCTCATAGAGCACAGTACAGTAATCCAGCCAGAATGTAACTAAGGCAAGTATCACCCCGGCCTTTAGCACTGATTTAAAAGAGGTGTTCCTTTTAAGTAGTGAAATACATGATTTTATCATTTAGCTTGCTTTGTTTTGTCATAGTCGTTGGAAGTCTGACTGGTGAGGCACACAGCAAGAGGGAAAAAGAGTTATCTATAGAGAAAATATATTTGCCTTATTTTAGCATGACCTTGGCTTAGTAACAGAATACAGATAACCATTTCTATATGTGGTTACAAGGTGACAAAACAAGGTTTTTAATTTTGAATTCCACTATCTTCACATAATAATGACCAACTCACAAACTGGGGGTTGGAGGAGAGTCTCATCCTCCTACTAATGTGTTGAAGGAAAAATACCTTGTTTTAAGTTTTCTCTACTTCCTATGACCTGTAATATATGCCTTTCAGCCAGTATCTTTAGCATTGATTTAGACAAGATGCTCCTTGTCCTTGAAAGACATCATTTTCCTCATCTACATATCTTTCATTTAGATGTACTCTCAGAAAGACCTTTCTGCATTCTTTTTCTTTAAGGCCATAATCTGTACCTCTGGATAATTACAAGGATTGAAGTTTGTTTATTTCAGGTTTTTGAGAACCCAGGAAGGTTTTATTGACTGCAATATACTCAATGAACCTTAATCTTTCCTGATTGTTAAGCTGTCTCTACAAGTTCACTTCCATAACTCGTCCTTCCTTGTTTACCTTTTTCTTTTCCCAGCAATTCATGAATTCCCTGATGATTTGTTCACACACAAGGAAAGGAAGCAAGGAGCAATATTGCTTCATATTTTTGGTGTAAGTATGCTCAGGCTTTCATGTATATACTGCTAGAATTAATTTGATCATTAGTCAAAACCTGCCTTATAATTATCATTCATTAACTTTTAGAAAACATTTTTAGCTTTCCTGATCCAAAAGATGTAGGTAGAGCAACACCATTTAAAGGGAACTCCGTTCTCTTATCAATTGATTTTCTCAGGGAAAATTGCATCCTAGTAGGATGCAGAAGGTCCCAGATCCCATCACCAGTCATTTCCAGTTAAAAAGATCAAAAGGCTGTTGATAGGAAAGACTTTTACCTGGTATCCTGAAGAGCCATGGCCAGCTATAGGCTATGGTGGGCAATATGGAGAAATAGTCTGAACTGGGACAGGGAGGTTCCTTTGTCCACAGCTTGGAATTTTTTTTAAGCTATAACTCCCAGATACCTAGAGCCAGTACAACTGGTTTCCATGAAAGCTGGGTTGCCATGAAAGCTGGGTAGCTGGATAATCTGGGAAGTGTAATCAAACAAACTAAAATGTCTAACTTCTGAATACATGTACTTTCAAGCCAAGAATATATTTGCTTCTCTTCTACTTCCATGTAAGGGTTCGGAACAACCAGGGTGGTAAAGGAAGGCAGAGAGGACAGGTGAGGTAAGATACAGGGAATGTAGTGTGCATGGAATATGGAAGAGATTATTTTTAGGGGAAAAGAGACCGCAGAGAGACCCTAAAGAACTGTAGCCATGCAGAGAAGCAAATATGGGCTAGATGGACAAGTAATCTGACTTGCTGGTATCAGGCAGTGTCCTATGTTACTTCAGTCTTTCCCCATAAATCTTGGCTGGAAATAGACATTGCGGATGATGCATGGGTACAACCATGGCTTTCGTCGTCCTATTGTTCTGCACAATATACATGATGTGATACGTTTCAGTCGTTACCTCACTGTTCTCAGATATAATAACAACATGGAATAAGATGGGGAGACTCAAGAATGTGATATGTTTTATCCGCCCAGAAAAGCTTAGCAGGTACTGCTTGAAGTATTATTAGGAGTTCATTGCTAGGTTGTTGTGGCCTCGTTTTGTTAATACCTTTTTTTGCCTTTTGTTTTTCCACAGGCTCTGTATATGTTCTATGCCTTGGCTATTGTATGTGATGATTTCTTTGTTCCATCTTTAGAGAAAATCTGTGAGGTACGTGAAAGTGAATTTTTGCTCTTATGAACCTGTTTCTTGCATGTGACATGCTGAAGGAGAGTGGCCTGCTTGATAAAATAGAGTAGATTTTTATTTATTTGACCTTCACATAGAGGCATGGGCATTATAGCCCTAAATCCTAGTGGTCTACCTCATACTTATTTCTGAAGACTATGTAGGCCAAGGATTACATTTTAAGATTTGGCTTCGCTGATCTTTCTCACGTCTGGTGAAAGAGTTTTGTTTTTTAAGTAATGTTATAACCATATAGGAATTGATGGATCCTCCATCTACATTTCTTTCAGAAACTACATTTGAGTGAAGATGTGGCAGGAGCCACATTTATGGCTGCAGGGAGCTCAACCCCAGAATTATTTGCATCTGTCATAGGTAAGAAATATGCCCAAAGCTGTTTTCTAAATGTTAGGGATATCAAGAATGCTATTATACCATGTGTCTACTGATCTTCATAATAGCCACCAAGGAAAATTTCTCATTTATACTCTGTTGGATTTCAATAATTTTCAGTTGAGAATGGAATGGGTAGCCTTTTGGACACCCAAATGTATGGGATTACAGCTCCCACAATCTTTCTGCAGTTGGCTATTCGCAGTGGGGCTTCAGAGGGGCTGTAGGTCCAAGACATCTGACGAGTCAGAGCTTCTCTACCCTTGCATTAAAGCTCCATCAGCAGTGCATTTAATTTGGAGAACTTACGTGCAGCCTTCCTATACTCTCCAGGCTTTATCTACCAGGATCTTTTGCCCATTCTGGGTCCCTGGTTATCCATATTTATTTATTCATTTAACTTATATGCCACCCACACTACCCAAAGGTCCCTGGGCAGCTTACAACAATTCAAATACAGCCAAAAGATAAAAAGCTAAAACAATTAAAATACAATTAAAAATACAGTGCTCTAAAAATTGCCATCAGGACCCACAGTTGATATTATTTCAGTTAAAAACCTTCTGGAACAGGAAGGTTTTGACCTGGCGCCGAAACATCATCAGCGTCGGTGCCAGATGAATCTGACTCGGGAAGGCTTTCCATAATCTGGGGGCAGCTGCTGAAAAGGTACATATGGGATATGTATTGTAATACCGGCCAAAGCCATGCTATCTAAAATTCTGGCATCCTTAAATTATCATGCTGGTGTATTTGTCACATCAATGAACTCACTTTTTAGCACCTATGGTGGCTGCTGGTGTATGAAAATTGTTTTGTGCTTTAGTGCAAGATCAGCTGCTTCAGGGTTTCCGTGAAAATGGAAATTACTTGCACAGGCACACATACTGAGACAAACTGAAGCTTTTTAAAAAGCCTAATTGCAACTTGGATTTCAGCCGGAGAGGGAAGGATTAATCCTTCTGTTCCCCTCATTCTGTAGTTCTTCCCTGATGTACATAAAGTTGAAAGGGAAACAATTTCTCTCTTTCTTATAATAGCCAGATTGGTGGGGAGATTCAAGACCATTAAAAAGAATCACTTCTTCACACAGTGCATAGTTAAACTGTGGAGTTCTCTGCCATTTGATACATGAAAAGAGAATTAGATTTGGGTTTAGGGGCATCAGTGCCTCCCAGTCAGTTTGTCTATGTGTCATCTGCAGTGTTAGAGGTAGTATGCCTGTGTAGTTCAGCTCTATAGAATGAGGAGACAATTAAGAGAACTCTAGTTTCCCCTTAACAAGGATTGAGGGCAGGGTGAGCAGCCTCTGTACAGGCATCCCTGCCCGCAACTCCTCCTCTTGCAAGATGACACAACCCACTCACCTACCTGTGAGACCAGTGCAAGACTAGCTGGCTATTTCAGAAAGAGATAGAATTTTGGTCCATTTCATCTGATTGGCTTGTTGAATGTTGGGCAAGATGTTTTTGTCTATCCAGCACAGAGGGCAGATCAGAGGTGGACCTCTTTAAATTAGTCACACTGGCCAGTAATGTGGAAGGGGATGATTAGTGGTGAGTCCCAAAAGGGCATCCAGCTGAGTGCTGATCAGTCCAATGTCCCTGCAATGTGGATCATGAGATTCCATTGCTGGGGTGAGGGATGTATCAGGGGAGAGCTGCCCTGGCTATCACTCACTTAAGGTCATGAGGCTGTAGGCGTGGCAACCTGGGAGGGCCTGCTCACCCACTGCAAATAAAACAACACAGATTCAGGGCTTCGGACTTGCCTTTGTCAGGGTAGGAAAGGAGGTTAGAAGGGACCCCCAGCTCCTGACCCAGGTTTCTGCACTACAGTAGGCCCCTCTGCATATTTAAACTGTGGATGGCACAGTTTAAGTGTCTAATAAAGTTGGGGCACTCATTAAACCCATCATTTGTGTCTTGACTCATTTTTCCAAGAAGGGTGGGGGCCAAATATCTGTTGCTGTGGAACTTAACATGTTGAATGCATTTGCATACTTGTCCATCTGGTGGGCCCCCCACATGCAGCTGGTCGGCCACTGTGCAAACAAGATGTTGGACGAGAAATACCTTTGGCTTGATCCTGCACGGCTTTTCTTGCGTGAAATCACCATCCAGAAAGTCTCCTGCAGGCTCTAGTCTAGCCCATGTTCTTTCCCTCTTCTGGCAGTATCTCTTAAGTCTGGGACTGTTTTCTCAGACCAAAGAATATGTCATACAATTATTTATTGTTTTAAAATCCCAGATGTTGCTCATCCTTCCTTCTTTCTTTTTGTCCCTCCCTCAGGTGTGTTTATCACTCATGGGGATGTAGGTGTTGGAACCATTGTTGGTTCAGCTGTTTTTAATATACTCTGCATCATTGGCGTCTGTGGAATCTTTGCCGGACAGGTTTGTGGGATTTCACATTCTCTTCCTAATCATGACACCTGAATAGGATGAGCAGAAGAATGTAACACAGAACACATTGTTGTTTGACTATAAATGCATTGTTTGGCTGTGAAGGTAATATGCTTTTAGGCACAATTCCTGCCAATATAAAATTGAAGCAACTTTTTCCTCAGTGTGTGTAAGTCTGCAAACCATTGTTAATATAATTACTAAATGGAGAAAATGTTTTATTTTAGAAAAATCTCTAAAAACCAAGTATATTGGCTACTGCATAACAGTGTTGCCCCTTTCCTGCCAGCTGTAAATGACAGCTCTCTGTACTAGGGAGAGGCAAAGTGAACCACCAGAAACATCTGTGGCTTGCCTCCATCTCAGCAGGATTTTGTACAAGAAAAGGTCATGGTGGACTGTAAGTCTTCCATGCCAGTTTCCCTACGAGAAGAACTGTTGTGCTGTCTTTGTAGAGGCCAGGGATGGGGAACTGAATCACAGGAGTTGCTGTCAAGTTGGACTGAAGCCATACCAGTGCACTGAACTTGACTTGGGTGTTTTTTTTTAATGACGTGAACTTGACCCGTGGACTTGGAACCCACCCACCCTCCCTTCCTCCCTCCCTTGTTTT